TTTCTCTCTCTCTCTCTCTCTCTCTCTCTCTCTCTCTCTCTCTCTCTCTCTCTCTCTCTCTATGTCTCTATCTTTTCTTTTCTTTCTATCTCTTTTTGTCTGTCTCTGTTTCTCCTCGGCCTTCCTCCTACTTTTTTTTTTATGATTTAAATTGATTTTTTAATTTGTCACTTTTTTTTTTTCGCCAGTTTTGGGCTATTCTTTATTACATGTGATTCAATTTTTTTTTTTTAAGTCTGTTTCAGTTTATGTGAGTGGTTTGTGTTAGGTTTCCTACAACATTTCTTATTTTTGCGAGCATAGCCCGCACCGCCCGCACCGCGGGCACTTAGCTAGTCCCCACGTTAAAGATGAGCAAAATAACATTTTCTTAGCTAATGGAGCAGCGGGTCACTTCGGTAAAAGCTGGATAGAGAACTTGAAAGGTGTGGTAATGGTGAGAAATATCTGGGACGAGGATAGACAAGATTGGATAGAGATCTCTACGCTGAAACTGAAGTTACCTAGAATGAGGGGAGCTCAACAAAAATTATAGCGTTTGATAGGATGTATTCCTGATAGTTGGAAGAGAATTTTGCGAACGAATCCCATACCTGATGAGGGATTATGGGGCCAAAGGATGACCGCGGATGGGTCTTACGAACTCTGGCATATTATTGGACCGACACTAGAAGGTGGTTTTGAAGCATGTAGGTGGCACATGTTTGCTGATTCTTCGTTTACGAACGAAATCTACCAAGGTGGTAAGGAAAACCTTGATCGAATAACAGATCTCGAAGAAGTTTTGGTAACGGCGCCTCTAGCCTGCACGAAGGCCCCTCCGGGCTCCATAAGGAGGAAACTGATAGTACAAGGGAGGTCCCTTGCTTCGCTTGGAATAAACCCAGTGTTAGTTGGCTGGTTCAGTACGGAAAAACGGAGGGTTGTAACTTTGGACGAGTATAAGCCGAAAGTGGGTACGGAGTATCTTAGACAGAAGATCAAGAAACACCCGTATGCTACAGTAGTCAAAAGACGTTCACAACAAGGCCTTCTGGGTACAACTCAGGATACAATGGAGAGTCTGTGGGTGGAATTGAAAGGTCTCCCATCGCAGAAGCTAGCCTTTATGCTGTGGTTACAAGCAATGTTAGCCACGGCATGAACAGTCTGGTTAGCTGTGAAGGGAATGGAGATATCTACTACTTGTCCAAAATGCAGGTGGGGATGGGAGACAACAAGACACCTATGGCTTACTTGTCCTGCTTAGAGGCGTGTCTGGGACTGGTGGATACAACATTGGACAACCTTCACAGAAAACAGCTTCGAATGGTCAGATGAATGGATGCTGACAGGATGTAGTAAAGGCAATTCTGAATGGAGATATGTGGCCCAGGTGGTGAGAGCAGTTATTATGAAAACTATCTGGGATGACAGAAATAACTAACTGTTTCGAAGTCAGTGTATATCGGATGTACAGATCAAGAAACAAATCACGACAGACTTGAGAAAGACTATCACCTATGACTGGAATCGAGGAACATCTCGTGGCGTCAATCAAAATCAAATGAAGTGGTTCAAGGAGACTTGGGGGAGGAACTCTAGTTTGACAATGGTAGATCACAGGGGTGGCGAGCTGTCCTTTTGCTCTTGGTTATTGACCACGATAGGTCATGGGGAACGTTTTAGTTCCCCACCCTGAGTCAAAAGCCTCTTTCCTTTGTTAGTTTTGAGGTCGTTGCTCTACCAGGTTTCATTCTGTGTTCATGTCCACCACTACGGGGTAAGAGGTGTTTTCACAAGTGGTTAACGGGGACCCCTGGTAGTGTGACAGGGAGCTCAGGGGCAAGCCCGGGTGTTTCAGAGCTCCCACCCTTTTTTCATGAGCCTAAGGTTTACAATTTTTTTTTCGGAGAAGCACTAAGTTGCAGGACAAGTATGGGGACGCTGGACCCGGTTTCCAGTACTGAGCCGAATCGGGGTAATGGCCCCAGCTTCCGGGTAGAATTGTGAGGGCCCCGGCCTCTACTTGTTCAATGGTAATAAAGCTTTCATTTTCTCCAAAAAAAAAAAAAAAAAAAAAAAAAAAAGGTGCCACTCCCAGCCCCAGCCTGGCTGAGGGCTCTATTGACCTCCTGCAGTCCAACCCCCCACCGAGATAGCCAGGTGGGTGTCGAAGCCACAACTGTTCTGATCCTATCCACTGAAAACCGGCTGCTAAAGGAAGGGCCTCGCTGCACTACTCTCCAAATGTGCAAAATGAGAATGAATCTTCTGCTAGAACATGGAAAGATGCACCGCCATCATTTTTGTCTTTTGTGCATGTGGAGAGTAGTGCAGCGAGGCCCAAAGTAGAGGGAAAATGATAGGTAGCAGAGTGTCTCCTTGATAGGCAGAGGGAAAAAGATACAAGCTCGAGTCTCAGAGATCCTGCTTCGATAGGCACCCAGCAAAGGGTTCTGCTAAATCTGGACCAGTTTTCCCTCCAAGGTCACCGCTGCCAACTTGTTACTCCTTGCCCGATCTGACCTTTTCAAAACAACAAAAAGAAGCCAAAAAAAGGGGTAACTCGTCGACTTTTTCCAGCTGTCTGTGGACTTAATTGGCGTCAGGTGCAACCAGGCCGGGTAGGAAAAAGCCTGTCATATACATCCAGACTGTCCTAGGGTGAATATGCCCCTAGACGACGTAGACGTGGCGAAGCTGTGCCCATGCTCCTCGACTTTGGGAGCCCGTTTAGCTGCTGGCAGCTCTCCGTACCGGCCCAGGAACGCGGAAGGAAGGAGGGGACGGGCGGTTGTTCAGTTCATCCTCCCGTCCGCCCACGTTGCTTGGTCATCCCTGGCCTTCAGCGGATCCTTTTTTTTGTTCCCCTCAAAGCAAAATTCAACGTCAGCGGATCCTCATTCGGCAGGAATCGAGCGGCCGAGCGTCCGCCTCACGCTCGGGCGGAGGCGGAAAGAGCCTGCGGGCGGGCAGGCGGGCGGGCGCGCGATCATCTTCTTTTTTTATTTAGTCTTTGTACAGGAGAAGTCTCTTATCCCTCTCTCCGTCTCCGTCGTTCTGTCTTTCCGTTGTTGTACGCCGCTCTCTCTCTCTCTCTCTCTCTCTCTCTCTCTCTCTCTCTCTCTCTCTCTCTCTCTCTCCCCCCTCTATCTGTCTCTCTACCCCTCTCCATTTCCCGTCCTCTTTCTCCCCCTTCGCTAGGGGCTCCGGCTTCTTGGCTCTGCCGCCATGGCGACGATGGCTGACCTGCTGAACCTTCAGGATCTGTCCGGGTACATCATCGCCGAGTACGTGTGGATCGGCGGCCACGGCTTGGACATGAGGTCGAAGCCTCGCAGCGTGAAGGGCCCCATAACCTGCCCCTCGCAGCTTCCCAAGTGGAACTACGACGGCTCGTCGACGGGGCAGGCTCCGGGCGAGGACAGCGAAGTAATCCTGTACCCCCAGGCCATCTTCCGCGACCCCTTCCGGGGGGGCGACAACATCCTGGTCATGTGCGACTGCTACACGTCGGACGGGCAGCCCATCCCGACGAACAAGCGCAACGAGGCGGCGAAGATCTTCGAGCAGAACCTGGAGGCGGAGCCGTGGTACGGGCTGGAGCAGGAGTACACGCTGCTGCAGAGCGAGGTGAAGTGGCCGCTGGGGTGGCCCAAGGGGGGGTTTCCGGGCCCGCAGGGGCCGTACTACTGCGGTGTGGGGGCGGACAAGGCGTGGGGGAGGGACATTGCCGATGCGCACTACAAGGCGTGCCTGTATGCCGGAATCCAAGTGTCGGGGACGAATGGGGAAGTCATGCCGGGACAGTGGGAGTACCAGGTCGGGCCCGTGCAGGGCATTGCCGCGGGGGACCAGCTGTGGATGTCCAGGTACATTCTGGAGAGGATCACGGAGAAGGCGGGCGTGGTGCTGTCGCTGGACCCTAAGCCGATCGAAGGGGACTGGAACGGGGCCGGGTGCCACACCAACTACTCCACCAAGGCCATGAGAGAGGATGGCGGCTTCGAGGTCATCACGAAAGCCATAGGCAAGTTGGGACTGCGGCACAAGGAGCACATTGCGGCGTACGGGGAAGGCAACGAGAGACGCCTCACTGGAAGGCACGAAACAGCAGACATCAACACGTTCAAGTGGGGGGTGGCTGACCGTGGTGCTTCCATTCGCGTCGGTCGAGACACCCAGAAGAATGGCAAGGGCTACTTGGAGGATCGCCGACCCTCCTCCAACTGCGACCCCTACGTTGTTACCTCTCTCGTCTTCGAGACCACCGTCCTCTGGAACCCGCCGCAGTGAGAAAGCATAGCAGCAGCGTCGTCGTACAGTCACAGGCACAACGCGCGCGCGCGCGCGCGCGAGAGAGAGAGAGAGAGAGAGAGAGAGAGAGAGAGAGAGAGGATCCGTAGGCTTATTCGTTTAGCTAACTAGGAGGAGACGAGGGAGATGGAGGGAGAAGAGAAGGTTGGGTGGGAGAGTGTAAGAAAGGAAGGAGCTTCAGAGGAGCTCGATCTCGCCGGTCGGTCGGGCGGTCGGGTCCTTGCTTGCAGCTAGTCGCCCACCTCCCCATTTGTTGAATGCCCATTCTGTTTTTTGTACAATAGAGGATGGGGGGGAGTGGTATGTAAGACGCACGTGAAAACATCCAGCCAGGACGAGACATTAGTTGTGATTTTCAGAAATGCTTGCGCTCCATTTGGGCCCGGTGGGGGCCTCTGTCTCCCTCAGCACCCTTTTTGAAACGTTTATTTTAAGCCAAGCCAAGTTCTGTACATTTTGGTATGCTCACTTCCTACTACTTCGACTAGGTCCGTGTATGTAACCGGTTGGCATCGTTGTCGAACGGGAGGAACACGAAGGAAATTTCTATGAGAGGGAGCTGCATACGCGGGATTATGTCCCTTTGATTCTCTCCTCTTTGTCGCTTCGTTGCCTGGGTCTTCGTTGGGGAGGTGTGTCCATGATTCCCCCTTCTCCGTAGCATATGCTGTGTTCGACCCCTTCATGGATGGCGGGGAGGGTGGGGTGGTGGATGGATGGAGAGAGAGAGAGAGAGAGAGAGAGAGAGAGAGAGAGAGAGAGAGAGAGAGAGAGAGAGAGAGAGAGAGAGAGAGAGTGTGAGAGTGAGAGTTTCTCATATTTAATGCATTTTTATGATGTTTTTTCTGTGCATGCTTTGCGCTACTTCCTCGTAGCGACGTGAGGCAATGGCTGGTTCTTTACTTCGCTGAATGGTCGCGTGCGGAAATTACCGCTGGAGTTGATTAATGTTGACGCACAATGGCTCATCTCCGCTGTGACGGCGCTGTTCAGGTTAACGCATTTCTCGTTTAGCAATAATCGGTCTTCGAATAAACGAGCTTGAGCAGTTTGTTGTTCCCTCTCCAGAGCTCGTTGAGGTACCGGCGTGGTCGGCGACGGGCCCACGGACGTGAAACGCAAGCGAGGTAGCCTCCGCGCTTGAAGTGCATGCACACGGACAAGCATATGCACAGACAAAGCACACAAGTGCACACACACGCCCAAGCACAACCAACACACGCAAGTGCATGTGCACGCACAAATACAAACAACACGCACGCGCATGCAGACGTTAAAAACGGGCGTGCGCGCACACACACACACACACACATACACACACATAGACACACACACACACACACAC